GTGGTGGCTTCTCTTGTTGTGGCTCTAGGCATGTGGGCTTCAGTAGTTGTGGCACACAGGCTCAGTAGTTGTGGCTCGTGGGTTGTAGAGTGCAGGCTCAGTAGTTGTGGTGCACAGGCTTAGTTGCTCTGTGGCATGTGAGATCTTCCCAGACCAGGGCTTGAACCTGTGTCCCCTGCATTGGCAGGTGGATTCTTAACCACTGTGCCACCAGGAGCCCCCTCTTGGTGTTTTTTTGATTTCCTCTTTGATTTTTTCAGTGATCTCTTGGTTGTTTAGTAGCATATTGTTTACCCTCCACGTTTTTGTGTTTTTTTTTTTACTGGTTTTTTTCCCTGTAATTGATTTCTAATCTCATAGCCTTGTGGTCGGAAAAGATGCTTGATATGATTTCGATTTTCTTAAATTTACTGAGGCTTGATTTGTGACCCAAGATGTGATCTATCCTGGAAAATGTTCCATGTACACTTAAGAATAAAGTGTATTCTGCTGCTTTTGGATGGAATGTTCTATAAATATCAGCTAAGTCTACCTGGTCTAATGTGTCATTTAAAGCTTGTGTTTCATTATTAATTTTCTATCTGGATATCTATCCATTGATATAAGTGGAGTGTTAAAGTCCCCACTGTTATTGTGTCACTGTCAATTTCCTCTTTTATGGCTGTTAGCATTTGCCTTATATATAGAGGTACTCCTATGTTGGGTGCATAAATATTTACTCTTGTTATATCTTCTTCTTGGATCTATCCCTTGATCATTATGTAGTGTCCTTCTTTGTCTCTTGTAATAGTCTTTATTTTAAAGTCTATTTTGTCTGATATGAGTATTTTTACTGCAGCTTTCTTTTGATTTCCATTTGCATGGAATATCTTTTTCCATCCTCTCATTTTCAATCTGTTTGTGTCCCTAGGTCTGAAGTTGGTCTCTTGTAGACAGCATATACATGGGTCTTATTTTTATATGCATTCAGCCAATCTGTGTCTTTTGGTTGGAGCATTTAATCCATTTATATTTAAGGTAATTATCAATATGTATGTTCCTATTACCATTTTCTTAATTTTGGGGGGTTTGTTTTTGTAGGTCTTCTTCTTCTCTTGTGTTTCGTGCCTAGAGAAGTTCATTTAGCATTTGTTGTAGAACTGGTTTTGTGATACTGAATTCTCTTAGCTTTGCTTTTCTGTAAAGCTTTTGATTTCTCCATCAAATCTGAATGAGATCCTTGTTGTGTAGAGTAACCTTGGTTGTAGATTTTTCCCTTTCATCACTTTAAATATATCCTATCACTCCCTTCTGGCCTGCAGAATTTCTGCTGAAAAATCAGCTTATAACCTTATGGGAATTCCCTTGTATGTTATCTGTTGCTTTTCCCTTGCTGCTTTTAGTAATTTTTCTTTGTGTTTAATTTTTGTTGGTTTGGTTAATATGTGTCTCAGCCTGTTTCTCCTCGGGTTTATCCTGTATGGGATTGTCTGTGCTTCCTTGACTTGATTATTTCCTTTCCCATGTTAGAGAAGTTTTTGACTATAATCTCTTCAAATATTTTCTCAGACACTTTCTCTTTCTCTACTTCTTCTGGGATCCCTGTAACTTGGACATTGGTGCATTTAATGTTGTCCCAGAAGTCTCTGAGACTGTCCTCACTTCTTTTCATTCTTTTTTCTTTATTTTGCTCCATGGCAGTTATTTCCACCATCCTATCTTTCAGGTCAACTTATGTGTTCTTCCTCAGTAATTCTGCTATTGATTCCTTCAAGTTTATTTTTAATTTCAGTTATTGTGTTGTTCATCACTGTTTGTTTGTTCTTTAGTTCTTCTAGGTCCTTGTTAAACATTTCTGTTTAACAGAATTGGATCATCTTTACTATTATTACTCTGAATTCTTTTTCAGGTAGATTGCCTATTTCCTCTTCATTTATTTGGCCTTGTGGGTTTTTACCTTGCTCCTTCTTCTGCAACGTATTTCTCAGTCTTCTCATTTTGTCTAACTTACTGTGTCTGAGGTCTTCTTTCCACAGGCTGCAGTGTCATAGTTCCTCTTGCTTCTTGTGTCTGCCCTTGGTGGGTGAGGTTGGTCCAGTGGCTTGTGTAGGCTTCCTGGTGGGAGGGACTGGTGCCTGGATCTTGTCCCTCTGATGAGCAGGGCCATGTCAAGTGGTGTGTTTTGGGGTGTCTGTGAGCTTAGCACAACTTTAGGCAGCCTGTCTGCTGATAGGTGGTTTTGTGTTCCTGTCTTGCTTGTTGTTTGCTGTGAGGCATCCAGCACTAGAGCCTGCAGGCAGTTGGGTAGAGCCATGTCTTGTATTCAAGATGGAGACATCTGGGAGAGGTCTCATCAATTAACATTCCTTGGGGTCAGGAATTCTCTGACAGTCCAGCATCCTGGACTCAGTGCTCCCTCCCTTGAGGCTCTGGCCTGACCCCTGGCTGGGGAACCAAGACCCCACAAGCCACACATCACAGCAATAAAGGGAAAAAAGAGGGGGGTGAGAAAACAAAGGAAAACAAAAAGAGAAACAAAACCCAAGAGAAATAGCAAATACAGAAACAAATAGCAACAACAGCAATAAAACCAAAAAACAAACAAAACTCCAGACAAATGGTAAAAGCAACCAACCAAACAAAAATGAAAACAAACTCAGGCACACACAAAAAGAAACAAAAAACGAAAAAACAAAAACCAAGAGAACAACCAGACAAACAAAACCCCAAAATGAAATTAAACAATTAAAAACAAAAGTAACAAAAACAGAAAACAAAACTAAAACAGAATGCAAACTGAAGAATAAAGCAAACAAAACAGACACACAAAAACAATTAAAAAAAGGATAAAAAGAAAAAACAGAAAAAAGAGGAAAAAAGATAGAAACAAATTAGAACAAAGAAAAGGAAAAAAAAACAGAACAATGAAAAAGCAAAGTAAAAATAAAAATGAAAAAATATTAACAAAATTTAAAAAAGAAAGGAAAAACCCCCAGAAAAACCAAACAAACCTAAAACCCCCCAAAATATTAAATAAAAATAAAAATAAAGAATAATAATTACAAAAAACAAAGCCAGCAACAGAACAAATGAAAACATAATAATAATAATAGTAATAATAATATTTTCCTGGGGTCTCAGCTGTCATTGTCCTAGCCCCTGGTGTGAGCCACAGCCCACCTCCACCTCCCCAGTAGGCCCTCCAGTGCCTCTAGGTTGGTCTCTCGACCTACTGTGGGCACTGTGAGGACAGGTCAGACTCTGATCTGGCCCAGATCATGCGTGTGCTTGCCCCCAAAGTCCACAGCTGCCAGAGCTAGACCAGTTTCATTTGTGGGAACACTCATTGTTCATCCAGATTCATAGATGCAGGGTCTATGAAGCTGATCACAGGGCCTTAATATGTAGCTTGTGCAACTGATGGAAAGATTTTTGTTCCTCTTCCTTAGTCGCCCTGCCCCTGGGGCTCAGCTGTGATTTTAGCCCCATTTCTGCATGTGGGCCACCCACAGGATTCTGCTCCCGAGGCTGCCCTGGAGCACTTGGGCCTGCCCCAGTGAGGACAGGGTGTGGTGGTGGCATGGCTGCCTGGGTCACAGGACCCCCAGTGGCGACAGGTGCACAGGGAAGCAGCAGCCACAGGCACAAGAGATCTGGCCCTACTGGGAGCATTTTCTAGTGCCCAGTGGCAGGTGCGCAAGGGCCAGCCCTGGCAGGGCCCTCTCCTAGCACCTGCGGGGATGGGCAGGGGCTGGTGCATGGGGAGAGAGGCTGCAGTGGTGGCTCCATCCCCTGAATATCACTCAACAGTGGTGCCTTGCTTCCATGGCAGTCCAGATTTCCTCTACAGGCATTCCCAGTTGCATATTTCCTCCCTCCCATCCCCATAGGCTGTCTCCTTGCAGCCAACAATAGTACTCCTCCTGGGTTTGTGCTCCAGTCCCCACGCTCCAGCTCCCACCCCCATGTGCACCAGTGGACACACGTCCCAGTGTGGGGCATGCAGTGCTGTTTCATGGACTGTCTGTGTAGGTGTCACTCTGTGCTGTCTGCCACAGACTGGCCATTCCACCCTCCTCTGACAGCCTCAGGTGCTTCCCTTCTGTCCCAACCAATTTCTCTGTTGGTGAGGGGGCTTCCCCAGATGTGGGAACCTCTCTGCTGCTTCAGCTCCCCAGCTGGGGAGCAGGTTCCATCCTATTTCCTCTCCTCTTCTTTCTCCCTTTCTTTCATCCTGCCTGGTTATGCAGGCATCTTTATTGTCCTTTCTGGTGTCCAAGGTCTTCTACTAGCGTTCAGCCCGTGTTCTGTGAGAGTTGTTGCATCTGTAGATGTATTCTGTTTTTTTTTTTTTGCGGTACATGGGCCTCCCACTGCTGCGGCCTCTCCCACTGCGGAGCACAGGCTCTGGACGCGCAGGCTCAGTGGCCATGGCTCACGGGCCCAGCCGCTCTGTGGCATGTGGGATCCTCCCGGACCAGGGCATGAACCCGTGTCCCCTGCGTCGGCAGGTGGACTCTCAACCACTGCGCCACAAGGGAAGCCCCCTGTGTGGGTTTTTATCATGAATAGTTTTAGCTGACTGCAGAGTGTTGTGTTCTGTGTTTTAGCTTATATGGTGCTTGGTACGATCTCTCACACATTGTGAGGGATATAAAAAAAGAGTACCTTTTAACTGTCATTCAGAATTCGTAATAAGAAGAGCACACACACAGACATACATAATGTAAGGCAGAATGTCATAGGTTTTGTAAGAGATTTGAAGAGCTGCAAGAATGCTGAGGGAAAAGTTGAAATCTGTTTGAAGAGATTTGTCACTACCTCCAAATATACTTTAAATGGTTTACCATCAATTGGAATAAAATATTCCTAATGTTGCTCAATAAATTCTTTTTCTATATTGTTTTACCTTTACACATTTTGGTAAAGGAAGCATTAGAATGTGACACAGTTGTGAAATGGGTGTTTGTTATACCATAGCTAATATAGTTAGAAAAAAGTTAATCTTGGTATCATTTTAGGACTTAAGGGAGAACGTGGGGAGCAAGGAACAAATGGAGTTCCAGGATACCCAGGAAAACCTGGAGTACCAGGTAGTGTATAAAGTATATCTACTGTGTGTAGTCACGTGTACAGTATGGCCCTTAATTTTCTTCCTGTTTGTATTTAAAGTTATCAGGGAGTTAAGATGGAAATATCAGTTAGTAATAATCTTCTAATAATTTAGTGTACTGATTGGATGGAGTGTTATCAGCACTAGCATAGGAGTCTGGAAGTGGTAAAAGTATCTGAGCTCTACACCTCTTTCTCGCTGTCCTTGGGAAAAAGATCTCTAAATCTTTCTGGCTTGCAGATTTTTTGCCTGTAAGATTTTGGGTTTGGATGGACAGTGTGGAGGTTTAGGAGAATAGCTGGGTTGGGCCAAAATGCAAAGTATAATGGAACACAACGGGCAACTATAGTGCTTATATTCTTCATCATCTTAAAAGTCAAACAAACAAACAAACAGACAAACTAGATATATAAGATCTAATTATAAGCTGTTGCTTCTCAGTAGCATTAACTCTTTCCTTTATGAGGGAGTAGCTTGATTTGAATGGCTCAGTGTAAGAGTCTTCTCTGCATGGCCATTGCTCAGGCAAGAAGCAGGTTTCCAGCTCCAGTTAAGAGGTTTTGTTTCATTTTGTGAGCTCTCTGATAATAGCATACTGGTCATACCGTATGTGAGCCTTAACCACTATTTTAATTTTTCCATTTCAGGTGGACTTGGTCCTAAGGGGGATAGAGGAAATATTGGCCTGACAGGAGTGAAAGGACAAAAAGGCTCGAAGGGGGACACGTGTGCCAATGGTACCAAAGGAGAGAAAGGAGATAAAGGAGACCGAGGAGCTGTGGGTGCACCAGGCTTGAATGGAGAGCCTGGGGCCAAGGGAGACAAGGGGGAGATGGGGGATAAGGGCTACTGTGGAGATTTTGGGGAGAGGGGGGAAAAAGGAGAAAAAGGCGAGGAGGGCATGAAAGGAGAAAAAGGTAGCAAAGGAGATATTGGAATGGAAGGGAAAAGTGGTTCAGACGGGCTGCCTGGGCCCCAAGGTGATCCAGGAGTTAAAGGAGAAAAGGGAGAGTTGGGTCCTCCTGGTCTTGTGGGACCTGCAGGGCCAAAGGGCGAACTTGGGAGCAAAGGGGTCCGAGGGTCTATTGGGAAGAAGGGCTCACGGGGCCTCAAGGGCTCCAAGGGGGAGGTGGCCAGAGTCCCACGGTCAGCTTTCAGTGCTGCTTTATCCAAGCCTTTCCCTCCTCCAAATGCCCCTATCAAGTTTGACAAGGTTCTCTATAATGACCAAGGGAACTACAGCCCTGTCACTGGGAAATTTAACTGTAGTGTTCCTGGGGCATATGTTTTTTCCTACCACGTCACCGTGAGGGGCCGACCTGCTCAGATCAGCCTGGTGGCCTGGAATAGGAAGCAGTTCAAGTCCAGAGAAACGCTCTATGGTCATGAAATAGACCAGGCCTCTCTCCTCATCATCTTGAAATTAAAAGCAGGGGACCAAGTCTGGCTGGAAGTTTCAAAAGATTGGAATGGGGTGTATGTCAGTGCTGAGGATGATAGCATTTTTACTGGGTTCCTTTTGTACCCAGAGGAAAACCCTGGCATTTCACCATAAACTTGTATCTTCAACACTGTAGTTTGGGTTTAGTGGAATAAGTCAGGTAACATTGGGTAGTGCTATTGAAGAAAGTAAGCTTCATTTTTTTCATGATTATAAAAATAATACAGAAAAATTAAGAAAAAATTATATCACCTAGAGTCAATAATTCCTATTTTAGAACATCACCTTTAAAAAATATTTATATGTATTTGAGAGCATGTGTCTATTAATTTTGTAGCTAGCTTTTTTCATTTAGCATTATAATGGCATTTCTCAAGCCCTTTAAATAATATTTGTATACAAAAATATGAATGAAATTTGTAATAAATATATTCTTACTAAATATTTTCTGTCTCATAAAAATGTGTGTAACTCTTTTCAGTGTGAATGTGAGGCTCACAGCTGACATATGATGGGTAGGTATTTCTCAAAAGTTTCTAATTCTGTTGGGAGGATTGCCTTCCCACAAAATAGAACTATTCCCATGTTCGTTTAATACAGAGAGAATACACAGAAAGAATAGTAAAGACTAGCTAAAGTATTTTTAAGATCAATCAGTGTGTAAGGGTTTGCTCATAAAAAACCTGTATTATATGGACTTGTGTGTTGGGTAAAAGGTAAAAAGAAAGTTGATATAGATATTGCTTCATCATAGCAAAGATCCAGTGATTCATCTAATTATTGTGCCTAGAAGAACTGAATGTCCCCCAAAGATTTCAGAGTAAAATTAAATCATTATTGATCTAAAATTTCAGCCCTTTCTTCATGGAAGAACACTTAATTTGGATAAATTCTTTGGCTTCATTATCATCATCTCGAAGATAATTAATTTTAGTTATTCAGTGATAACATTGCTGGAACAGGTAGGTATTTGGGAATTCACTTGCAATGTGAATATTTAAAGCTGTGAATATATAATAACTCAACAGCCTCATTTATTAAGAAGTGAATTTGTTGACTCTAAATTGAATTTGGTTTAATGAAGGCATATAGTTATGCAGATTTGCAAATCTTGGTGAGTCAAATCAGGGAGTGGGTGATGGGAAACTTTTTGGCCTTGCTCTGCCAGATAAACAAACTCTGAAAAATAAATTTATTTTTCATCTTCATATATATGTATATATATATTAGAATAGTGCTTCTCAAACTGTGTTCAGAGGAAAACCATTACTGGAAGTTGTTATTATGAGCTACTGAAAAGAGTGGGTTCTGTGTCAAACAAATGTTGGAAATGCTATATTCTATCTCCCTTTTAAAGATTCATAGAGCATGTTAGTGTAGTCCCTGATATTCCCACAGAAAAGAAATTTGTTTAATTTTGTTTTGTCCAGTGATACTATATTTGTTTTGAGTATAGAACTCATCAAGCAGCATCTCATGGAACAGCGTTCTGTAAGATGCCAATTTTCGAAATGTTGCATTAGTGTCTCATCCAAAGATTACCCAGCAGGCTGGGATAAAGTTTACTCTTGACATTTAGCCCTTGCTTCAGCAATTCTTCTCTATTTAGATTGCAGTATTGCTTTAATTGTGGCTTTGCTTGTATTTGAAACAGGGAGAGTAAGAATTCACAAATGATTAAGACAGCGATATTTGCACTTAGACTTTTCTTTTCCAGTTTGAGGACAGGATAGTGAAGAGATTCCAGGAACTTAGAGTTTTGTCTCTCTGTATTTTCTTATAGATATATTTCTTTCTTTATGCCTTCTCCATCTTTGAGTCGGAGGGATTTGGGAGGCTGAGACCAACTAACCTAGGAAGATGGAAGAGAAACCACATCAAAGGATGTGATGTAAAAGGCAGCTGGGCAGAGGGCCAGTAAGAGAGGAACAATTCACATGGAGGATTTATGGTATCCAGTGGTGTCTTACATGTGTGTTTGTGGTAAACATTTTATAGGAAGTCTGAAGTTAAGAGTTTAGGGTTAGGATCCAGGGTTGGTCGTTAGTTATGAATTTTTCCCAGGGCATCCCAGCTAAGGAAGTTCTTAGCCTTTGGGATGGCTTTGGGAGGTGACTTCTGGGTTCTGTACGCCACTCTCTGCTACAAGGGTGAAGTGGCACAACAATGTCCCTTCTTTCAACTATACCATGTCTTCCATCTCGTTGAAAGCCCAAAAACAAAGAGTGGATCTCTTGCATCCCAAGGATTTGAATGCAACCCATATCCTGCTCCTACCCTAATGACTGTCGCATATCGTGACCTCTCCCCTGAATGCCTCCCCAGAGTATTAAGCTGCTGAGAGGACTTCCCTGGTGGTACAGTAATTAAGAATCCGCCTGCCAAAACAGGGGACACAGGTTCGATCCCTGGCCCGGGAAGGTCCCACATGCCGCGGAGCAACTAAACTTGTGTGCCACAACTACTGAGCCTGTGCTCTAGAGCCCGTGAGCCACAACTACTGAGCCCGCGTGCCACAACTACTGAAGCCCGCGCACCTAGAGCCCATGCTCTGCAACAAGAGAAGCTACTGCAAGAGAAGTCCACGCACTGCAACGAAGAGTAGCCCCCGCTTGCCGCAACTAGAGAAAGCCTGTGCACAGCAATGAAGACCCAATGAAGCCAAAAGTAAGTAAGTAAGTAAATAAATAAATGTATTAAAAAAAAAAAACTGCTGGAGTTAAAACACACCTCAGGCTTAACATGACAAAACAAGCTTCTGAAAGTATCCTCAAGCTGCTCTTCCTACATCCTGCCCTAGCTCACATAATGGCAACTTTTTATGGAGATGTTCAGGCTGAAAACCTTGTGTCATTTGATTCTTCCCTTCCACACTTAAATCCAGTCTGCCAGGAATCCTTCTGGTGCTTCTTTCAGAAAGTATTCAGAATTTGATGACTTCTCACATCTCCATTTCCATCACCCTGATGAGACCACCGTCATTTATTGCCAGGATTTTTTTTATTGCAGTAACCTCCAAATTGGATTTCCCTAAGATACAAGGGGCCAAAATACAAATGGGACCCAACATAATAAATATCTAAATATTTGAACTTTATGAGTCAATCTAACAAAGTTATTTAAAATATGTTCTATCCTCCTACTTTAATGTATACTCTTATGTTGAAAAAGTAAGAAACAATTAATGATTTTTATATGACCAGCAGTAAGCAAAACATAACAGATGACTGAATTACTATTGTGTGTGTCTGGGTGTTCTCTTAATGGGTAGGTGATATTTGGATGAGTATAGAAAGAGTTTAAGTTATGAATTACTATATGTCTATCCTGTAGATGTTATTTTTAAAACTTAATTTCAGTAAAATATATGCCACATAATCAAGATTTCCATGTAATTGATGTTCTATTGATAGTTTTATCAAATTAGACCATTCTTGTTGAGTCCTTGTATTTTAAAAATTAATTAAACATATTAATTTCAATTCAGTTTGGTGAAACTTTGCTCATCTGAACTAGCAATAAGAACCACAACTTCTACATATCATGTTCAAGTATTGTAATTGGGGTTGCAGATGATACATTACCACTATTGTAAACAATATTTAAAAATATTTAAATTTCATCCTATAAACTATGATCACTTATATTGCCATTTTCATCATCTCTTGAAACAATATTCTAGAATTTAGCTCCAGCATGAATTTTGGTTGGACCTGCATAAATACAAATTTAGAGAGGTATGAATTGTTTAATATTTCTAGCCATTAAGTATGCAACCATTGCAAACCCTGGGCCATTCATGAATATCTCAAGAACGCTGAATTGGAACACAAAGAGGAGCAAGGAAATGGACTCTCAGCACAACTGAGACATAATATGTTGTTATCTATGGCACTTATGCCCTCCAAGAGGAAGGAAGTAAGTGAAGTCGTACTTCTCTTAATTAGGCACATCTATTTCTCAAATCCTCCCCACATTCCTAAGCAGTGTTCAGCTCCCATGTTTGCAGCCTTGATGGCATTTGGAGACGGTCACCTTTTGTTTGATGCACACGTGGCAGGAGGTGTGGAGAAGAGTCTAAAAGGGTCTAAAATGTGGGAGTCGTGGGAATACATACTTAAGACTGCAGGTTGTGCTGTGCCACAGTTGAGCCCCGGGTACTATCATAAGTGTACATGTTGTGTGTTTGTTTTACGCAGGACCCCGTACAACATGGGGCCCAGCGCAGGGGCCCCTCTTGCTTGGGTCTAAAGGCAGTATCTCCTATTTCTGTCTCCAACTCCTTTAATCAAAGAAATCCTGTTAAAAAGGAAATTAGATCATCTTACTGCTCTGCTCAAAGCCTCTTGAAGCTCCTATCTCATCGGGAGTAGAAGCTGAATCCTTACTATGACCAGAAAGGCCCCTGTGTGATCGGGCCCCTGCTTTCCCTCTGACTCTGCCATCTCCTCCACGCTCACTCTGGGCATTGCCCTCAATGCTATTTCTCAAATTCACTCACATATTTCCACTTAGGGCTAGGGCTTTGCACGTGCCATTCTACCTAAATGGCTCTTATCCCAGGTAACTGCATGACTGGCCCCTTCCTCTCTCTTGAGCCTTTATTCAAATATCACCTTTTCAGTAAGGTCTTTGACTACTTGATTTTAAACTGCATTCCCATACCCTGCCTCTCATCCTTGCTTTTTTCTCCACAGCACTCACCACATCTAATATATATTTCCCTTACTGATCTTTATTTTCTGTCTTCCCACTAGGAAGTAAGTTCCAGAACTCTAAGGATTTTTATCTGTTTATTTCCCTTTCCCCAGCACCAGCACATTAACCATGAGTTCAGTGAATGAAGAAGGATGGGGTCCAAACTGTGTGGTGGTTGTAAATCTCTGTACAAGGTGATGCTCACAGGTTATCTTGCTTTTGGTTTCCGCCTTAATGTAAAACAACAATGACAAACTACTAGTCTAGTTGCAAAGTAACTAAAACTGTGACTTCTTAGATTTCATAATTAAGAAACTGGCTTCATGAAATGCCATGTTTTATGTTTCATTGTGTTTCAAAGAGCTACAGAATTTTTTTTTCCTGTGGGGACAGGGGACTACTGGGCGGTCCCATGGGGTTGCAATGAGGAGCTTACAAGTATGGAAGGGGACCGTGTCTCCTGTTGCTGGCGATGATGCTCCTTTTGAGTGGGCGTCTAATCCATTTTTATCTCTT